GTGTGCGTGTCGGTGTTCACGCAGCCCGACCTCCGGACGCTCGTACCGTACGTACCGGCCAGACTTTGCTCAAGTGATTCTACGTAAGGCTGAACGGTGGGGAAAAAGCTCCTCGTCTCAGAAACCTCCCAATTTCACTCTCCCAAGTGTCCAAACACGCCAAGATTCCCATCCTCAGGTGGCTTCCCAAAAAACAGATCCATCAAGGAAGCGAAAAACCAAGTGCCCGGGCGCCCCCGTACCATCGCTTCTCGCTCTCGATGGCCTAGACCGACAGACACGACTCTCGTGGGGGAGGTGAAGGTTGGGATTGAATCATGAGGGTCAATAAACACCATAATGTAGACTCTTGATTCATAAACCCCCACTTAAACCCCCCATATGTGTTATATTATATAATCAAGAGTCTACATTACGTAGGAAGGAATCTTCTCAACCTGGCATCAAGATCGGGCTGCCACAACTAGCCTCTGGCACCCAACGACTGTCCTTCCAACCGACGGTAGACGTCTTGGAGTCGATGGTCCAGCACGGCGAGTCCGAGTCACCTTTTTGCTGCACAACCTGAGAATGTGTTTGATCTTTCTCAGGTGGTTTCCTAAAAAACTGGGGAGAAACCAAACGCTGAAGAGCCATGTGTTTTGGGGGGAAGGAGTACAAAGGTGGAGTTACGAAGTGTTGTAAACTGATGAGAAAGTGCATGATCGAATGATCGAAGCTGGGGCTGGCGTAATCTTGCTGGTTAGCAGTTTGGACTCCAGAATGCCAAACGCTGGTTGATGGTATTGGTCACCTGGAAAAAGTGTCCCGCAACACAGCAAAAGATCGCAAGGGTGGCTTCTAGCCATAGGCCCAAGCTCAAGAAATTGGTACTGCTACTTTGAACCAAAAAGTAAGGGCACCGAGGTTCTTGCAGACCCCCCAATTCACCTGCCCATGACGTCCGGCATTCTTCGGTCCGAGCCGGTGCAAGTTTTCAGCGCCTGACTCTCCTCCCTTCGTCCCAGCCAGCAGCCTTCCGTGCGGCCATGGGTCCGGAAAACCCGAGTGTTTTCCTCTGAAAATGAACAGAACCAGGTGGTCAGCCCAGGAGGGTGGTGGTGGTGGTGGTGGTGGTGGTGGTGGTGGTGGTGGTGGTTTTTTGACTGCTGAGGCCGTCAACGGAGGGTCAGCCAGTCCTCCAGGTGCCATGACCCGCCCATCTGAGTCCGGAGTCCATCTGTTGAAAACCAGACCCACCGGTGAACCTACCGCCTGTCGGTCGTTCACTAGAAGGACCAGACGTTACCAGGTTGAATGACCTGTCTCCACCCGTTTGCGGATCTAGACCCAAGATTCGAGACACCACAGTTCCGGTGTCCCAAACCGAAATCATCACCACGACCGGTGAAAAGAAGGAAACTCATCCGAGAAACTCAAGAAAAATGGAGGAAAAAGACACCTCCCCCAGTGGCAGAACAGGAACAACTGGGAACCACCCAACAGGACACTGATTGGGCCGGGTCCAAAAAACCTCTAAAGAAGGAGATGCATCGCCGCTGATTCTCAGCATCGCATTCTGCGTGGTCCATGGCGCTGCCGCACACCACGAACGCCGAACAAGGAGCCTTCCTCCTCATGGAATTGGAAGAGGGAACAAGCGTCACCTTCATGCGAGGCACAATCTCGAGTCAGTTGATGGAAAGGTTGCACCACTGAGAAAACTCTCGGAGGCAAGAAGCTGCAGGTTTCTCAGGCTTCTCAAAGTTGGGCCTCCGAAAAAACACTCCAAAAGGAGATGTATTTGAAGATCCTCGCCAAACCTCCCATTTGGTCAAAGCAGCTTCCTGGAGTCTTTCGTCTATAATTAGTCTGGGGTAGACTCGGTCCATCAATCACAGAGGGCCGTCGGAGTCCGCATCCAAAACAAATCCCCTCGCCAAAATCCACACACCAGGAGTCGCAAAGGGGTGGTGTTTAGTCCCATCAAGTGAGTGGAGTAGCTGGGCACCCCAACCTGGTATGCGGTTCCTTTCAGTTGTCAATCGTCCCAAGAGACCAAGGGTCGAGATGAGTCGGGCGGCTGATGTGTTACAATCCGAAGCCAGTTTGATTGTTCGCTGTGCCTTTCAGTTGGGTACACAGATCCAATTCTATCCATCACAGTTGGTGATCATGCACCTTGGTCCAAAGCATGTGATGCACACGTAAACCACATAGTGAATAAAGTAAAACCATCCTATGGTGGCCAGGGACCAGACGTTGGACTAGGTCTCTCCTCCGCCTGAAGGGCTTCTCTTGAGCATAGACCCACATCGAACCGGGAACTGTACCCTTGTAAGACGTTGCCACGAATACCAGACCATTGTTTTTTAAAGGTATACTCTTCCGGTTGATACAGACACACAAACACTGTAGGCACCTGTAGACTGTGGTTATCTTCATGTCCTGTCACTCCTGCCACACTGCAAAGACAAAAACCGGAAAACGAACGAAGCTTCCCAGCAACCGCAGTATGCGCCCACGCGTTGCATCACAAGAAGCTCAATGCTCGCGCCAGGCGCCGACTCCGAAAACTCGATCATATAAGACGTGAACCCTATGTTGAAAACGCTCCAAAACGATCCAAAAAGAGGTTCCACTAAAGGAGACCGTCTTGAACCTCCAAAACGTTCAATATGATTGACGGACATGAATCGACTACCAGGTGACTACCTGGATCTATTGCTCATAGATCTTCCTGACCTTCCTGGCGGCCAAAAATGACCGGCATCCCCCCGTCCCTTCACCAAGCACCGACCCTGGGCCCGGCACCCGAGCGGCAACACGCCTCGGCCTGGGTCGATGACTCGGATGCGCGTCTGGGTGGTCTGAAGGACCATGCTCAGGTGGATTTGAAGGACCATGACACTCCCTCCATCATATTCCTTTCGTGGTGCGTAGGTGGTGAACGTCGTCCAGCTGCCATGAGCTATCGACACGATGTGTTCTTAAAGATGTTCACCCCAGCTGTCGCGAGTGTTCGACAGAGCTGTCGGTGTCGGCGAGAAGCACGGCGTCAGCGACGGGAGGTCTCACCGCCTTGGACTCTTGAAGAAAGTTCAGGCAGAGGTCACAAAGGGATGGTTTGGCCCATCAACCAAGGGCCCCACAAACCATCAAAAACCTGGTTTTCCCTAGCAAAAAAACTGGTTTAGGTACGTGAAAACCTCTATTTTTGCATGGTTTCGAGGGCCCCTGGAAGTGAGTGGAGGATCATGGGCACCCCGACGACCTCCATACATCGCACACCCGACTACGTGACTGCTGGAGGGAGCTGAAACATCTCGAACTCACGAGTCCGATAACCAAACTCCTTCGGGACCGAAGAACGCGGTGGTTGTAACAGGAACACCCCGCAGCGGGGCACCCCAACGCAGTCCTCTGGCGTTCGAGCGACCGGCCAAAAGCCTTGGAGGACGTGAACCGCGACGAAAGAAACAGTTGGTGTTCTTTTTGGGGGGGGTGGAAAGGGGATGGTTTTGGGTTGGGGAAACCAATTCTTGGGATCATATTGGGATGTGTTTTGATGGACAAAAACGAGGTCTTTCAGTTTGTTCTGAAGAACCTGAAGAACCCCTCCGGAGTCTCAGTAGACCTTTCACCAGGTGTTTCGTGCTTGGCGGTGTCACCGGACCCACGAAGAGGACGGGGGACGCTTCTGGGTGTCAAACCCCCCCAGAGGACGACGTTTCGGGAACGGAAGTGGACCGCCGGGAGGATCGCTGTGACCGCGAACCGAGCGATCTGTTTTAGCACTTGGCATGGGAAGCTCCCTCTTTTGACACACCCTGCATGAGTAAAGAGTGTTCCAAGTCCAAATGCGCCGATATGCGCCGATAGGGAGGCAAACTGCAGAGGTACCTGCGATCTCATCATTGGACCAGGCAGCCTCATCTCACTCCGCAAAGAACCGCAAAAGACATCCCTGCAGGTCCAAAGACCCAGTAAAGACCCAACGTAGGAAGCTGGTCCCTAAAAGCCTCATTGATTTAGTGCTTTGGTGTGACCAACGTAAAATGAGGTCAGTAATACACCGGGAGTAGGCCATGAATGTTTCTCCAAATGGATTTGCCTCTGTCCCTTTGAAACGACATGGTTTCAGGGGAGTCCTTCCAGATCTTTTTGAGCTATAGGCGTGGCATGCCAAGATCAGGGAAGCCTCTATAATATATAGACCCCCAAATAGATAGAAAAGTAAAAGCCCTTTCAAGATGGATTGGAAATCGTTTCTATCTATTTGGGGACCACTAGACATAAATTCATCAATAACTTCTCCGAACTTCCTAGAAGTACTGAAGCTCCCATTCGACCTCCCCTCTTCCACCGCCACCACCGCACCAGTCCCTCTCTTTCTGCGAGTCGGCCCGCGAAGCTCTCCGAACGCCGGCCCCGCCGCGGCTCAAAAGGTGGCCGCGCCCGGACGCTGCCGCGCGTTCAACGCTGCCGTGGCCGAAACACGACACGCCCCGTTCGGTGTACCGAACGTCGAGTTCCGAAAGCGTGTGATGGCGTGTTTCGTGCAGCGACTTCGGTGGGTATTGGAGGGATGGTGAAAGTTGGACTGGTTCCCTCGAATTACCCCTCACTTGATCTCACTTGTGCCACTTGCCCGTGACATGACATTCGAACCATCCCTCGTGGTAAGACGGACCTACATAACACGTCCTCGGAGTTGCTGGTGCGTTCCTTTCTCATCGACCAACTGGTCGTCGATGCTCCGTGACGAACGGAGTTGATCTCTTCTGACCCTGTCTTCATCTATTTTTCAAGTCCGTTCGACCATTTTTAAATGGTTGATCTGGTTTTTTGTAGTGTATAGTCCTTAGTAAAACACAAAACGACCTTGTCTGGAATTCAGACTATATAGAAAAAAATGGCCGGGCCGCAACTTCTATAGGGATCGAGTTCGCCGTGGGGGCGCTCGCCGAGCGGAGCCCCGGCGCTGTCTCCGGTTTTCCAGTTCTTTGCCGCTCGACCGGAGCGATCCACCGGGGAGGAACGTGAAACCGACCACCACCCCTGCAACCCCATCATCCCAGTCCTATACCTCACGGTCCTCACGGTCGTCCAAAAGGCTTGGCCTTTTACGAACCAAGGTTGCTGGTGGGGATGGGGGGAGCGAGTCCGCCGACCGGACCGCATGTTCCGGCTCCCTCATGGCAGTAAACCCGCGGGTTCTAGAACCGACCCTTCCTTCATCTTTGTGATAGAAATCCCTTCAAGCCCTACATCACAAGTGAAACGTAGAACCTGAAAAGCATCCCTAATAAAACTAAGGGGGCGAGATTAGGGCGAACAGTTTGAATGGGACCAGGGTTAGAGTCTACAAAAAGAAGCTCTGACCCAAGCTGCTTTGCCATCTACAAAATGGCATATACCAGAGTGGGCTTTTACAAAATGATGATGCCTCAAGATTACGATCTGATGCTTACAAGTGTATAAAACCAGCCATACGGCCATATGCGATTTCTCTGCAAAAAGTTGGGTTCTGGATGCCCAAACTGCCAAAACTACAAGCCCTTGGTCCCCCTCAAGCTGTAGGGCCTCAAGCTGCGCTGATCCTTTGAACGCCGCTGACTTTGTGGCTCACAAACCAGGAAGAGCCAGAAAGATCACTTCATAAAGAGCCTTGAAGAGCAATTCAATTCATCATGACTCTACAGCACCAGCACCTCTACAGGAGTCCGAAATGGAGGGTAAATAAGGCTTTTAGGCCGCAGTCAGGTCTCAATAGGTGACTTTGCAGTGATGGTGGCAGTTGGAGGGAAAAGTTCGATGCAAATCCAACCACCCCAAAAGCCATATCAGTTCGATTCTCATAGCAGAAAGCGATCACCCACTTGAACTTGCAGGGTGTCTCTTCAAAAAAAGACTCCCGGACCCGCGCAACACGCGGATGTAGACCTACGCCACGCGCGCAACTCCCAAGGGGACTAGACCTACGGCGGGTTGGAGGTGAAAACGGCCGCCAGAGAGTCGTCATCGGATCCACGGTCGGATCCTGTGCATCCACCCGTGCTGTGGGCGGGCGTGATGGTCGATCGTATGGAGGGTACTCTGTGAGTCGTGATGTTTCAATAAGGCAGGGCGGAGCGGGTAGGCCATCGTAGGCGCTCGTAAGGGGTGGCTAGCAAGCTTAAGAAGCTACTACCCAGGACGCAGGAAAGTTCAGGCTTCAAGGAAGCTACCCCCGCCTGAGGGTGGGGAAGAGCTTCTCATGAAAAAGCCCTCGAAACTTATATGGTCTAATCCTCATCACTACCCTCACGCCAATGACTTCGATTCCCAAATTGACTGAAGAGCAAATCCAAGGTAAATCCCCTGGTACAACTATCTACAGTGGATTTGCGCGAAAAATCTCAGAGTAACTTCTGACGGCCGGTGGGATTATTAAACTTTGCACGGGCAAATTGGAGGCATCTTTCAGCAATGCCTTTCTCCCGGGCGAATTGGCTGGCGTCTCAAATCACGTCTACGAATGGAGGTCCGGCGAAAATCGCTGCGGGATGTGCCGGCATAGGAGTGTTCTTTGAGAAATCTTTGAGGCCAAAGGCCTCCAACCTACTTGCGATGGCCTCCACCCTAGTTGCGATGGCCTCCAACCTAAGAGCGACTTGCGCCTGATGTTCTTTCATCCTTCGGCAAAAGAATGCCAAGGAGAATGCTCAGGTGCGTGCTTTCCTGTGTAAGTCCCCTCGCGAAGACAAGAAGCCTTCTATGTATAGCCATGTTTATGGAGAAACCTTTCTGGCAAAAGGTAGCTTAGAAGTTGCAAACCAAGTTTGAGTATTGCACGTATGCCAAGTATGCTAAGTAGGGCCTGTATTTGGTGGTTCTTTCGAGACGCCATGGCTGAGCCGCTCAGAGCAACAGATATAACGCACTGAAGACGACCAGGGTTAAGAGGACGATCGCAAAGAAGAGGCTGGTGTAGCCCGTGGCATGAAAGACCTGCGCTGTTGGTCAGAAGCAGGTCGGACTCAGACCGGATCCAACCAAAACAGGGCAGACCGGTGACCAGAAAATGTCCTTTAAGAGCACCAAACAGAGCCTTGGGGAGTGGAGGCTCAAGGTGGGTGTCAACGACCACCGCCAGGCGGTGAGTGTCCTCACAGTTCAACGGCCATCCGCGCCTTGGTCTCTGCCTACATCTCATCATTTTGAGGACAGACATGATGAGAAGCTTCCCTCTGAACTGATGAGGAGCACCCTAGGCTTCAAAGACCAGTTTTATATATCTTTTTTGGGTTCGGCTGACCTGCTTCTTGTAGTCTAAAATCCTCATAGTCAAACAAGCGTTGCTTGTTGAACACAACAATAAAAACTGGTGAGCCAGGAATCCCCCAAAAAAAGGTAAACCGATCAACAAAATCCTCGCCAAAACTCCTGAAGCCAACAACCCTTGTTCACAAAACCGTCAAACGCAAACATGGCGGCCCTTTTCCAAGAAGCAACCTTTACAGAAATATCAGCGCATAAGTCCCCAGAAACCAAACTGCAGGATCAGCAAAGAGAAGCTATCGTTCCTCGTGGTATATGCTGGACCCTCAGTTCGTACTTCTAAAAATGGGTACAAGTACCTGCATCTCCCGTTTTCATCAGTGTTCCAGGGTACGAGCAAGTTCGTCGGGTCTAGGCACTTCCTTTTAAACTCGAAGTCATTGTCCAGGTCAACCGGCTCCAGTCAAACAAAAAGCGCTCCATCAAACGCTGGCCTCCAACCTATATAATAATCTTAATAGCAAAAGGAACCTAGTAGAAATGGCCTCCAACCTAAGAGCGATGGCCTCCAACCTACTAGCGATGGCCTCCAACCTACTAGCGATGGCCTCCATCCTAAAGATTCATCGTTCCGGAACTTGTGTGGAGAAAACGCGTCGGGAGTCGAGCGAGCAATCGGCTCACCTTGAGGACAGGCTCCCAGACTTCATTGTCGATGTCAATGAATTCCAGGATCCGATCCTCAAAATGGTCCGACCAGCAGATCCGCCGCCCCCCCCGACCTTTCCTCCACGAACGCGTGGAACGCCCCGCTACTCGACGTTCGCCCGCGGATCCGTCCAGCTCCGGACCAGGTTCGGGACGAGACCGGAGACCGGCATCGACCCCCGGAGTCCAAACGGGTGCGAACGGTGCCGAGGAATTGGGGAAACCGAGCGGTTCGACCTAGGTCCGTGGCTGGAGTTGGTAGAGGTCGAAGAACAAAGAAGTTGAAGCCATTTGGAGTCCTGGTTCTTGACCTGATTCTACTGGAGTTGGTCATATAAATCCACCATACTCACATGAGCTTTGACCAGAAAAGCCTTCGCGAAACCCGGTCCAAACGGACGTCCCGCAAGCGGAGAGGTCGGCCCAGAGCAGCAAACCAAACTCTCCCAAGCTGTCCCAACTGCTGAAGAAGCGAAGCA